TCAGAATTCTGACTGAATTCTGACAATAAAAAAGTCAGAAATCTGACTTTTTTCCCATTCTAAACTGAAATAAAATTAAAAAATCAGTTAACTTTATATATACAGTGGGGCAAAAAAGTATTTAGTCAGCCACCAATAGTGCAAGTTCTCCCACTCAAAAAGATGAGAGAGGCCGGTAATTTTCATCATAGATATACCTCAACTAGGAGAGACAAAATGAGAAAAAAAAATCCAGAAAATCACATTGTCTGATTTTTAAAGAATTTATTTGCAAAATATGGTGGAAAATAAGTATTTGGTCAGTTACAAACAAGCAAGATTTCTGGCTCTCACAGACCTGTAACTTCTTCTGTAAGAGGCTCCTCTGTCCTCCACTCGTTACCTTCATTAATGGCACCTGTTTGAACCCGTTATCAGTATAAAAGACACCTGTCCACAACCTCAGACAGTCACACTGTAAACTCCACCATGGCCAAAACTAGAGAGCTGTCAAAGGACACCCGAAACAAAATTATAGACCTGCACCAGGCTGGGAAGTCTGAATCTGCAATAGGTAAACAGCTTGGTGTGAAGAAATCAACTGTGGGATCAATTATTAGAAAATGGAAAACATACAAGACCACTGATAATCTTCCTCGATCTGGGGCTCCATGCAAGATCTCCCCCCGTGGGGTCAAAATGATCACAAGAACGGTGAGTAAAAATCCCAGAACCACACGGGGGGACTCAGTGAATGACCTGCAGAGAGCTGGGACCAAAGTAACAAAGGCTACCATCAGTAACACACTACGCCACCAGGGACTCAAATCCTGCCGTGCCAGACGTGTCCCCCTGCTTAAGCCAGTACATGTCAAGGCCCGTCTCAAGTTTGCTAGAGAGCATTTGGATGATCCAGACGATGACTGGGAGAATATCATATGGTCAGATGAAACCAAAATAGAACTTTTTGGTAAAAACTCTACTCGTCGTGTTTGGAGGAGAGAGAATGCTGAGTTGCATCCAAAGAACATCATACCTACAGTGAAGCATGGGGGTGGAAACATCATGCTTTGGGGCTGTTTTTCTGCTAAGGGACCAGGACGACTGATCTTTGTGAAGGAAAGAATGAATGGGGCCATGTATCGTCAAATTTTGAGTGAAAACCTCCTTCCATCAGCAAGGGCATTGAAGATGAAACGTGGCTGGGTCTTTCAGCATGACAATGATCCCAAACACACCGCCCGGGTAACGAAGGAGTGGCTTCGTAAGAAGCATTTCAAGGTCCTGGAGTGGCCTAGCCAGTCTCCAGATCTCAACCCCATAGAAAATCTTTGGAGGGAGTTGAAAGTCCGTGTTGCCCAGCGACAGCCCCAGAACATCACTGCTCTAGAGGAGATCTGCATGGAGGAATGGGCCAAAATACCAGCAACAGTGTGTGAAAACCTTGTGAAGACTTACAGAAAACGTTTGCTCTCTGTCATTGCCAACAGAGGGTATATAACAAAGTATTGAGATGAACTTTTGTTATTGACCAAATACTTATTTACCACCATATTTTGCAAATAAATTCTTTCAAAATCAGACAATGTGATTTTCTGGATTTTTTTTTCTCATTTTGTCTCTCATAGTTGAGGTATATCTATGATGAAAATTACCGGCCTCTCTCATCTTTTTAAGTGGGAGAACTTGCACTATTGGTGGCTGACTAAATACTTTTTTGCCCCACTGTATATATATATATATATATATATATATATATATATATATATATATTATTATTATTTTTTTTTTCAGAATATTTGCATGTCATAAAAATTGGGTGAGTAAAACACCTAAAATATTGAGTTAATTATTTTGCCAAGATTTTAGAAATATAGTACTGTGTACAGGTAATTGATTTGGGTTTAAATCTAAAAATGTCACGGATCTGTGAATATAAATGCTAAAGGAAATACTGAGCAAATGAAACATCAAGAACTCTTCGATCTGTTTTTTATTCTTAGACGCCACAAAGGCCTTTGCTGGGTAAACCACATTAAGCTATTTCTGAAATAGAGTCAAGCTGATGAGCCTCAATATAAAGTGAGACGTGTGTTTTATTGGTATATTGGCCAAAGCATGCAGGTCAAGGGGGACAACTGTGTTTCTTCACCTTTCAGGGTCAGTAATGGAGTCAGACAAGGAGGAATCATCTCCCCTGTTCAATATTTATATGAACAACCTTTTCACACAGGTAAATATTTGTAAAACTGTCTGGAAACACAGTAGTAAATACTTTCTGTGTGATGATGGTGGTTTTCAGTCTAAGCTCAGCTGGTCTTCAGAAGCTGCTACTTCATGATGTTAAATTCAACTCATCAAAAAGTGTAATTCTGATATGTCGCACTAAAGAAGACAAACACAATCTTTTGCCAATTTAAAGCTGTCTGGGATCTTACTGAACATCTTAAGTAATGTGAAATATCTTGGTCATGTGCTGACAGACCGTCTATCCGATGATGAGGACCTATATTGTCCAATTAAAAGAATAGTCCAGTCAGGAAGGATTTATACCTAAATCTAATATGTTTGTGGTGATTTAAAGAATTTAGCATTAATCAGTAAAAAAAATAAATAAATAAATATTTCGTTGCAAACACTGAGTCTGGGAGCGGCCATTTTTACCCAAATATAGTAGCCCCTCCCTCCTGCCATCTTCCAGCAGTGACGTCACGGTGCGGTTAGCCTAGCGCCATTCTCCCTGCTTTACAAGCTAAATCAATGGGAACTACTAGACACATCTGCAATCAACAACAATTATTGAAGATTTCCAGAGGACTTCACCATTGAAATTCACCAGAGCTATAGTGAAACTGACAATGCCCACGTGCATGGCAGCTGGATGTTGAAATAAATCTGGTAAAAGTGAAAGAAAATGAGTTATTCCACCTTTCTGATTCCTGATCCTCCACGGACGGGTTGGTCGTTGGATCGCCAACTTGAAGAGGGAGGATTTGCCATCGAACTTCTGACCAGAGAAAAAAACCCGTAATATGTAGCCAACATTTGGAAGAAGAATGTTTTCAAGATGACTTGGATAATAGCGCGTTGTGACAAACACCAGATACAGCACTGGGACTTGATCAACAGCCGATACCGCACCCTGACGTCACTAACCAGTAGGTGGCAGTAGTGTTCTTTGACAAACATGGATGCCTCCAGTAAAGCACATTTAAATAAAAATTATTCTTAATTAAAAACACTTATCGTTTATTGAACAGCATGTAATAATTTCATATTTAAAGTATTTTCAGAAGTTTGAATTCTGAATATGACCGGACTTTTCCTTTAAGTTAAACTGAACTTGTTTATATCAGATTGCAAACTTTTGGTGCAGTCATAAAACATCCAGCCTTCAGAGATTGAAGGAGGCCAATAAAGACGCATTAAGACTTTTGTTGAAGAAGCCCAGAGGGAGCAGTCAGCTGTTTGTGTCTCATCTCTTTTCTGGATGCTTTAAAGAAACTTCTGTACACATTTTTTGTTGACTAAATGAGTCTAATAAAATATTGATCCAACTGTTTATTAACATTAAATATAGTGGGGTAAGATACATGTCTGTATATTGGAAATATTAGGAAGATTAGAGGAGGAGGCTTTATCCCTGCTGGGGTCGCCTGGGCCAGTACATCGCAGGGCAACACAGAGACGAACAACCATTCAAGCACACACTCACACCTAAGGAGAATTTAGAGAAGCTAGTTAACCTAACAGTCATTTTATTGGACTATGGGAGGAAGCAGGAGTACCCGGAGAGAACCCATCAAACCTGGAACCTTCTTGCTGCAAGGCAGCAGTGCTACCCACTACGACACTGAACAGCCAAACCTCCAGGTCATAGTCATTCCAAAAAAGTTTGAAAGCAGACTTGTTTTTCACGTTTTTTGCTTCCCATCCAGAAAGCTTTCTCAGTTCCAAATGTCTGGAGTAGCATTGAGTTCCAGGCTTTTTATAATAGTCCAACAAAAGCCTTGTTTTAGCTTAGAAAACATGCAAATTGAACAGAAAAACAGGTCTAGACATTTAGAATTGAAAAAGCTTTCTGGATGGGAAATGGAACTGGCTGTGACTCCATCCTGGAGAGAAACATCAGCTGTGCTGCTGCCATCAACACCTTTGTTTATAGATGCTGGAGATCGGCCTGTTTTCCAGTGCGGTCCTGTTTCTCTGACCGTGACTGAGTGGATGTGCTCTCTTCGTCCTCTGGCATGGGAGCTGCCTTGGAGCTCGTCTGCCTGGCTGTGTGTTTCCTGGATGGGAGATTTTACAGCTACTTTTGTGTCTCTGCTTCCGTCTCCTTGAACCCCAGTCGGCCTCAGCAGATGGCCGCTCACACTGAGCCTGGTTCTGCTGGAAGTTTCTTCCTGTTAAAAGGGAGTTTTTCCTCTTCACTGTCGCTACAAGCATGCTTAGTGTGAGGGATTGTATTTGAGTCATTGAGTCGATGCAATCAACTGGTTTTCCTTAGATAGAAATTTGACTGTATGATCTGGTTGAACTGTAAAGTGCCTTGAGATTACGTGTTGTGAATTTGGCGCTATATAAATAAACTGAATTGAATTGAATTGAAACGTCTTCAAACTTTGAGAAACAAGTCCAGTGTTTTTTTTTTTACTTTTTTGGAATCCTCTTTTTTTATGTACTTGCATTCTTTTCATATTCTTATGTGATCTGGACAAGAGTCTTTACTAAAATCTACTAACATTAACTGCAGCTAAACATGAATATATGAATAAACGATCAGCTGAACTACAGTGAATGCAAAGAACAGTTCAGTTGCTAAGATCTCCTTTGTGACTGGATATTTCACTTCCTTTAAGAAGTGAGAACAGGAAAGGGAAGGGAATTCCCTTTCCTGTTTCAAAGTCAGTGTTTCTGCTCATAAAATCAACGCTTTCCTGTGAATAAACCTCCTGGTGTTCGTGTTTTGTTAGGATAAATTAGATTAATGGTAACTTCCTTCCTCTAACTCCCCCTAAAAAAAAAAAAAAAACAGGCAGAAAAAAGAAAAAGTGAGAGTGTTCGCCGATGGTCACAGAAAGAGAAACTATGTGGGTTTTTTGTTCAAACAGGGACGGTTTTCTGTAACACACTTTAACATGGAGACTTAAGCTTTACAGGAAAACTTAGTTCTACTGAAAAACACCAGAGATGTTTGAGTTTCTGTTGCGAGCGATCGTCTGTCTCTGCTTTCTTCAGGGAGGTAAGATCAAGTTTTCACTAGACCAAATCTGAAAACTTTGCTACAAAATCGTCTGCTTATAAAACTGGGTGACTTTCCTAAGTAATAGTTAGATTTTCTGATGTATTTTAGATTATAGTTCATTAAATGTTGATGTATTTCTTAGGTTTTAAAGAGCTGAAACTTTTTTTGCCAGGTGTGACACTGAGGTTTGAGGGGAAAGTACACTGAAAAAAATAATGCATCATATTTAGTTACTTTAACTGTTTCATGTTAGCATAAAACAATAGTGTTAAAGTAATTAAATATGATTAAGTAAATGCCAAAAACTGCATTATTTTTTTTCAGTGTAGCATTTGTACTCTATTGTTTTTGGTACAATTTAATAACTGATCATCTCTCCTTTAGTGTTCTGGAAAGTGGGGGGGGGGGGACTAAGGAGGCCTTAGTAAACTGGAAGAAAAGCAAGAATAATCATAAATATGCAAAACAATTGTAAAAGATTATAAATTTTTCTCATCACCACATAATATTTGCTTTATTCGTTATTCAAAACTATAACTTGTAATAATGTGTTAATGGGGATTTAAAACTGAAAATGTTTTCTGTTCTTATCAACAGTTTTTCCAAAGTTTGGTTGTTGAAAATCTAAAGTAAAGTTAAAAATGTGTTAGTTCATATTGTAGACTAACATGAGAAGGAATAAAACAAGAAAAAAAAATCTAGAAGTATATTTTTCTTTACATATTTTGGTTCTTGGGGCCTCGGCCAGAAGCTAAAGCTGCTTGAGGTTAACAGCTGGGTTATTAAATGCCGTAATGTCTGGTATAAACGCTCCCCTGAGTTAAATTCTTAGTCTAAACTTTTAAAAACTATTGTTCTATGAATGGAAAAACAGAGATTTTAATTGGATTATTCAACTTTATACTGAAGAGATAAAAAAAGAGACAAAGCAAAAAAGATCAAATAATAAAAGAAGCAAGAAATAAATATGAAGAAGGGATGTTCTCCATTTCTACTGAATTTGATCAAAATTGTTCATTTGAAATACGAAAAGTATATTCAGTATATACTGAATACTCTAAACAAGATTATACCATCATACAGGTTGGGAAATACAGAATTATTGCATTTTTTTTTTAGCAATTTGTTACCGTTCTGTCAAACTCAACATGCCGAACAAAGATTTTATGTCTTATCACAGCAGATAATAAATCATCCTCATTTATAGTTTTGTAAAAATTCAAAATTATTTTCAATTTAATTGGAAGCTTCATCTAAAAGCGTTGTATTAATGGGCATAAACAAGACATTACAATACTGCTTTACTCCTTCTTTGCCCTGTTCTTCTAACTGGTTTAAAATCTATTCTGGTAAAATAAAAGTAAGAAACATCAACCTTCCATCCAAAATATCTCCATGTTTTCAAACTGTGGATTATCTACTGAAAAATTAAATGAATTGCTTCTTTTCTAGTTTTTGTTTAATATTATTCCTTTTTACTTTTTTTTTGCCTCTTTAAGTCTGTATATAATCCTGAAATGAGTTTAAACCTAAATGTCCTGCATATGCTTTGTTAATAATCTTTAAGAACCATTTTGAAACATCATTAATTTAATTCCTTTGCCCCTGAATTTATATGCATTTAAAAATGTTGTAAATTTCCTTTAAGTATTTGCCAAACTGAAATTTTTACCTGAAGAAAAAAAACTTAGAAATATATACATGTAACAAGTTTGCTAAAGTTATGATGGTGACTCTTTCACAGTCAAGGAGCAGTCACACTGGAAAAAAAAACTTGCCAAATGTTTTTAGGTCTGCAATGAATGTGTAATGGTTTATGCACACGCGTTTGCAGTTTGAAAATAAGGGAAATTTTATCGACTAATCCAGTCAAGCTTCTGTATCGGTTATATTTCAAAACATATGCACCAGAAATCTTAAATAAACACCTGTTAACCAATTGTATTCATCATTATTGGAATTTTGATTGACTGCAGCTGATAGTTCTTTTTGAACAAGCAGATCAAATTTTCTTCCTTAAATCTAACTTTATAATAAAACTAGAATGGGAAACCAATGGGAGACTGATAATATGGGATAAGGGGCTAAAATGCAGTATTTTCACAACCAAAACCGGAGATTCGGCAGCTCTGTGCAGCCGCCATCTTGGCTGTGTGTGTTATAAAACTTTTTGTTGCATATTTGCAACAAAAGGATTCAAAAAGTCAAAATATATTGTTTTAAAATCATAGGCAGAAGTAAATTATGACGATAAGTCTTGGTTTGAGTAAATATTAGACCTAGCGCCTGTTTTTGCATCATTAAAGGCCCAATGCAATAATTTAGTATCTTATTTAAGGTTTATTTTATTCATATAGTTTAACTATAAATTAATTAATTCTCTGAATATTTTGCTCTTCCTAACAAGTCTTTTATCGCATATCTAAACTGCTATGGACAACCTCCAGAATTACTGTCATTCTGCTTCATATCATGGGTGACACCAACTCAACAAAATTGAGCTGAAATGAAGAAATCCTTGAGAAACCGATTCTTAAGCTACAACTGAGACCATAACTTAAAATCTTTCCCATTTAGAAGACCTGCCGATGGTCAATAAGACCATTATTTAGGGAACAACTAACACCATCACTATCTCTGCCTTATTGCACTCTCTTGGCAGTGCTGTCCTAGTAGAAAGCCGTGCAGCTGCTGGCACTGCTGTAAAATTACACTAAAGCCTGGTTTATGCTCAGAAACCAGGTCGTCTGCGTGTGTCGCAGTTAAAGCAGATATGCCCCCTCCCCAAAATTGTAGATGGCTGCAAACAGGGCCGCAGATAGCGTTGCAGGCAGGAGAGAAAGGAGGTCTCTGATTGGTTAATTCTACATCCTTGCTACACTATGCACATTTTCTGTTTGGTACCTAATGGCAGAATCTCTGGCTGTAGCGTCGTCCACAACACCTGGCACACCTCAGACCATGGGCGGTTCTAGACAGGGGGTCAACGGTGGTCAGTTCCCCTGTAGGTCATGTCCTGGAACCTGTACTGAAGACATAATACTCAAAGAAATTCTGATGATGATATGCACTGGAACAGACATAGTTACTGATCTATTTCTTCTTTACAAATTCTGTTTTACTAATCATTTAAGAACAATAAGGTGATAGCTTCTGTGGTATTGAAATAGGATCCCAGTTTTCATCTGCTAAATGTTTTGTTTTTAAACAAATAAAAAAAAACTTAAATTAAGTCAGAAATATGTAAAATTCCTAAATTATGAATGTAAATTGACCTAATAAGACATAAAATTTTAATTAAACCTAATTGAATAGAAATTTCACTTCATGCAGCTATCTTACTTTATTTTAATCCCTTCCCTGTATTTGATTTTATGCTTTTCTGTTCCCCATGAAAACACACTGGCCCCCTCCTGGACCCCTAGTACATATATACCCCGTTTACACTACCCTTGAAAAACCGTGCCGAGACCGGTCCGAGCTCAGTAACTGAGATAACTTATCGTGTGTAAATGGAAAGCAAACTGAACTGAACCGAGCTGGACATAACCGAACCAAGCTAACTGCAGACCAGTTCTCTGATAACAAGAGCGCATGAGCAGAACGCGTCATCTCCGTCTGGCTGCACATCCCGATTCACACTCCATTCCAGTAGTTGGCGGTAATGCCCCTCCAGAAACAGAAGAACAACTTCTTCTTCAACTATAAACAACAATCGAAATCTTCTCCACGCAACATTTTAAATAATGGGATTTTAAATAATAACACCGAAGTACAGCAATAATAATCAAGCATAACTTTCTGAATGTGACGGGCGCCGCCATTTTGATTTGCCTGATTCCCTCCTTCTTCGTTTTCTTCTTTTTGTGTTTTATGGCGGTTGGCAAACAACTTTTGGTGCATTACCGCCACCAACTGCTTGATTTCCTACTTTAATACTGGCAGTAATACCGTCAAACCAACACGCAATAATCCATGTAAATCTTCTGTCCTCCAGGTGTTTGTTCTGCTTGTGATTGGAGTGTAATTGGGGAACGTGGTACGTTCTTCGTGCCTGCAGGGAGCAGTTTGTCTCTGTCCTGTGTGGTTCAACACTGTGGAAACTCCTGGGATAGCAGCTGGACATGGCTTAATGCAACAGGGGCAACCAGCACTGTTGAAAAAAGTGCAAGACACTTTTTGACCGACGTCCCACTCAACACCAATAAGACCAAAGTATCTTTAAAGATTGCCAGTGTTATCCAGGCAGATGAAGGCTCTTATGCATGTAAAGTGAAATGGTGGAATAATGAAGAGGACTCAGGCCACTGGATGGAAGTGAACGTCACAAAAGGTATATACTAAGTTACCTGTGCTGAACAAATGTGCATCTGACATATTTTAGACGTCTGTGTTTGTGCATCTTTAGGTGTTGAATCTCAGAGGAAAGCCTGGCACAGGGTTCTGGTCTGCGCTGGTGCCTTTCTTTGTCTTCCTGTAATTCTGGGACTGGCTCGCTGCCTGAGTTCAGAGGTCAAGCCCCAGGCACATCCCAGGAAAAAGGTGTTATATGAAGCCGTACACAAAGATAGATCACATCAGCCTCCGCAGCCTCTACCCCGACGTCCAGTACCGAAGAAGCGTAACACTCCTCCTCAAAAAGGTATTTAATATTTCTTTTAATCACAGAGCAGGTGAGCCTTTCATGTTGTCAGAGCTTAACCTTTTTTATTGCTTTAACTTTTTCAGCTCCCTCTGGATCACAACAGAAATCTGAGGTTAGTAGAACTCCTTCTTTTGTAACGTACTGCATTAGAATTTTGTCTTAAGGCAGAGGTCTTCAACGGGGGTCCGCGACCCCTAGGGGGTTCATGGAGGTACTGCATGGGGGTCGCGAAAGTTTTGGTTCATTAGACTTTTTTTATATTCCCCCCCCTGCAATTTTTTCCACTAATTGAAAAGTCTTTAAATACACATAAACATGAATTAAACACACTGTATTAAACAGATAAATGGAGGCAGAAGATGTCTTTCAGTCATCAATGCACACATTCAGCGACACACAGGAGCTCTTTCAAGCTGGGCACCGTTTCATTCACAACACCTGTCCCATCAACCAGGAATCTGTATCAGAAATACTTTAATTATCCCAGGGCTAAATAACTTTCGTTACATGACTCCATCTGTAACAGAGAGACTATAGGACAAGTTTGATATAACACAATTTCATACAATATATATAATTAGGGGGTCCCCGCTCCATCTCATCATCAGTTTAGGGGTCCTTGGCCTGAAAAACGTTGAAGATCTCTGTCCTAAGGGCATTTGATCCTGTAAATATTTTCCTAACTTGTATTTCATCCTATATTACAGTTGTTGTATGCAGTTATTTCTCAGGATGCCCTGAGGATACAAAAGGCTGGGAGAGAGCCACTTCAGCCCACTATCTACTCATCCGTCAGGTTTTCCCACTGAAAGAAAGAAAGAGATATGAAGCTATCATATTCAAATCAGTCTATTAACTTATGGCCTGAATAATTTAGGCCTTTCAATAATCCACTCTAACTTGCTGTGCCATGGTGGAATAATCATGTACCACAAAACTGAGCCATCAGCAAGGGTCTTGGCATTTAACTGACTTGATATAAAACCTCTCATTAGCAATAGTAGCTTATTTAAACTGAATAGTTTCCTTGTTTTTAGTCAAGTTTTAATTATAGGTCCACATATTGTCAAAAGTAACAAGCTTTGGGGGCCAATGGATCAGCTTAGTATTAGTGTAACCAAATTTCTGACTGTCTAGATCAATGAGAGGGAGGGCTGTTCACTGATAAAAGAGAGTTAAGTGGGTCCAAAGTTTGTATTTTTCACTGAGCTATCACAGTTAGCACTGATTCCTTGTATGAAAGTTACTGATGCTGAGTTTGAGTTTAGTGGCTGCGTCCTCTGAAGGCCAGATTCTTCGGCCGATTAGGTCATAGTGCAGCACAGAGGCCGGTTCGTTTTGGAACAGGCTGGTGACGGGCTTGGTAAGTTGGGTGATTGCCTAACCAGCAGGCGAGAGGCCTGAAAATGTAAAGGATGGCTGAACAGGCTGCTGTCAGGCAAAGTTGTGACCAAAGTCAAAAGCAGACAATAACCCAGTGAGGTCAGGAATACAGGAGGTGTACACAAACACTGGGAATAAACCTCATACAGGTAACAAGACAATCTGGCAGAGACTGACTTTGAGAGGCAGGTATGATTAGGCAGGATAACAGCTGGAAGGAATAAAGTAGGAGGTGTGTCTATTTTCTCCAATTATCAGTGGCAGAACCAGGAGTAACAGCAGCCAGCCAGCACAAAAACAGTCGAAACAAAGGCAAACTGATGGACATTGTGAACTGTAAGACAAACAAACCCACGAAATGATGCTGCGACCTCCCTTCTTAGCCCCTGATGCTGTGTTTAGATTTATGTTAGTGCTGATATTGAAAAATCTCTGACCGCACTCAGTTCATTCAACTGAAGACTCTCAAATCCACCCCCTCCCCCAACACCTCATGTGTGCCCCAGCGCTCTGTCCTGGGGCCCCTGTCCTTCATCATCTATCTCCTTCCCCTTGGCAATATCTTCCGCAAATTTAACATCCGCTTCCATTGCTATGCCGATGACACCCAGCTCTACCTCACCATGCAACCATCGTCATCTCTTCCGCCCGCCTACCTCACAAATTGCAACTGTGAATTAAAAGCCTGGTTCACCAACAACTTCCTTCAATTAAACAGAAGTAAAACTGAGTTGCTCCTCATTGGCACCAAATCAACTCTTTCCAAAACCGACAGTTTCCAAGTTACTATTGATAGTTCCTCCATCTCACCCTCCCCCCAGGTTAAGAGTCTGGGTGTCATCCTCGATAGCACACTATCTGCCTATTTCCACTTAAGAAACATCAACCGCCTCCGTCCCTCCCTTACCCCACACACTACTGCCATACTTGTGCGTAGCCTTGTCACCTCCCGACTAGATTACTGCAACTCCCTCCTCTTTGGACTTCCTCAGAAATCACTCCACAAACTACAACTGGTCCAGAACTCAGCTGCTTGCATCAATACAAGAACTCCCTCTATCCACCACATCACTCCGGTCCTCAGTCGACAGCTCCACTGGCTCCCCGTACAGTTCCGCATTCAATTCAAAATTATCATGGTGACATTCAAGGCACTTCACCACCTTTCCCCCCCCATATCCGTCAGACCTCCTGCATGTTCCCACCCCCTCCCGTGCTCTTAGATCCTCATCTGCTTTACACCTGTCTGTCCCTTCCGCCCGTCTCACTACCATGGGGAGCAGAGCTTTCAGCCGCTCTGCCCTCCCACCTCTGGAACTCTCTACCACCCCAACTTCGAAACACGGACTCAGTTCTCCATTTTAAAATGCAACTCAAAACCAGGGGTGGAAAGTAACGAATTACATTTACTCACGTTATTGTAATCTAGTACTTTTTATGAGTAATTTGTAATTTTCTGAGTAGTTTTTGAAATATGTAATTTATACTTTAACTCGAGTAAATTTGAACCTAAGTAGTTTTACTTTGCTACATTTAAAACCCCCTCACGTTACTCAGTAAAAAAAAAAAATATAGATACTGTGTTTTTTATGCTTTTGTACGGTGACCTTGAGTGTCCAGAAAGGTGCCTTTTTAAATAAAATACTGATAGTGAAAAAATTAAATGCGGCCGGAAATTTAAACCCCTGTGTCACGGAACCGACACTCAATCGCCATTAAAAAATAGAAGAAGACTTTTGACTTTTAACAGCACTTTATTTACACAATTCAAACATATAAGCAATTGATATAAAAACAAGTGTCAGTTAAAAATCACTATTAAAGTAAAACAAGTGTCAGTTAAAAATCACTATTAAAGTGAAACAAGCGTCAGTTAAAATCACTGTTAAAGTAAAACATCAATTTCACTGTCACAGCCTCTGTATTTTTTTTATGTTTTTATTTTGTTTCTGATACTGTGTTTTTTATGCTTTTGTACGGTGACCTTGAGTGTCCAGAAAGGTGCCTTTTTAAATAAAATACTGATAGTGAAAAAATTAAATGCGGCCGGAAATTTAAACCCCTGTGTCACGGAACCGACACTCAATCGCCATTAAAAAATAGAAGAAGACTTTTGACTTTTAACAGCACTTTATTTACACAATTCAAACATATAAGCAATTGATATAAAAACAAGTGTCAGTTAAAAATCACTATTAAAGTAAAACAAGTGTCAGTTAAAAATCACTATTAAAGTGAAACAAGCGTCAGTTAAAATCACTATTAAAGTAAAACATGTGTCAGTTAAAAATCACTCTTAAAGTAAAACACGTGTCAGGTAAAATCACTATTAAAGTAAAACAGGTGTCAGTTAAAAATCACTATTAAAGTAAAACAAGTGTCAGTTAAAAATCACTCTTAAAGTAAAACACGTGTCAGGTAAAAATCACTATTAAAGTAAAACAGGTGTCAGTTAAAAATCACTATTAAAGTAAAACAAGTGTCAGTTAAAAATCACTATTAAAGTAAAACAAGTGTCAGTTAAAAATCACTCTTAAAGTAAAACAAGTGTCAGTTAAAAATCACTCTTAAAGTAAAACACGTGTCAGGTAAAAATCACTATTAAAGTAAAACAGGTGTCAGGTAAAAATCACTATTAAAGTAAAACAAGTGTCAGTTAAAAATCACTCTTAAAGTAAAACAAGTGTCAGTTAAAAATCACTCTTAAAGTAAAACACGTGTCAGGTAAAAATCACTATTAAAGTAAAACAGGTGTCAGGTAAAAATCACTATTAAAGTAAAACAAGTGTCAGTTAAAAATCACTCTTAAAGTAAAACAAGTGTCAGTTAAAAATCACTCTTAAAGTAAAACACGTGTCAGGTAAAATCACTATTAAAGTAAAACAGGTGTCAGTTAAAAATCACTATTAAAGTAAAACAAGTGTCAGTTAAAAATCACTATTAAAGTGAAACAAGTGTCAGTTAAAAATCACTATTAAAGTAAAACAAGTGTCAGTTAAAAATCACTCTTAAAGTAAAACACGTGTCAGTTAAAATCATTAAATGAGGAGCTTGTTAATAACAGTGGCATCCTGTTGCGTTTTAGTTTGATTTCTGGTATCTTTTGGGCATTTAATTTTGTGTGCATTTTGAAAACTTGAAAACGTACTTCAAATTTCTTTATTCCTATCATGGTGTTGCCTGTTGGACAGTAGGATTGAAAATAATTTGCACTTTATGGTTCAGGTTGTGACTGTCCTGCTGTGAGGAAGTATGTTCTTTAGCCCAGCTGATCTTTTTCCAGTGTGGATGTCACTGAAATACGCCTTGAAATCGATTAAAACACCTTGTGCTCAATTCGATTCATGACTCATCCTTTCTTTTTGCATTAAATAACTCAAAGTAACTAAGTAACTTTTACTCAAATTACATTTTAAATGAAGTAATTTTGTACTTTTACTTGAGTAACTTTTTAGATGGGTAACTTTACTTTTACCCTGAGTAGAATTTAGGCAAAGTAAAGATACTTTTACTCAATTACAATTTTTTAGTACTCTTTCCACCTCTGCTTAAAACTGTTTGAGATTGTGTATTATCTTTCAATATCAATTTCACTGTCACAGCCTCTGTATTTTTTTTATGTTTTTATTTTGTTTCTGATACTGTGTTTTTTATGCTTTTGTACGGTGACCTTGAGTGTCCAGAAAGGTGCCTTTTTAAATAAAACGTATCATTATTGTTATTAAATATTATTATTATTATCTTCATCTCCTTCTCTAAAGGTATAGTGGAGGATTTTCTTTTTCCGGGTGGAACATCTAAATAAGTGGTCCTCCTAATTGTCAATCATCCTGGTGATATATTTACGTAAGGCCATCCTACATGCTTGTCCCTAGATGGCTATCTTTTTCTAGCCTGGGTGCCATTCCGAACTTAGTCCCGCCCACAACGTTTGAGGTCGGGAAGTTCGGTCTGGCATTGCTTAACAGTAGCGCGAGTATGCTCGCACAATATCTGGCGGGCCAATCAAATTGTCAGGGCGGGCTTTATACGATGATGGACAGATGATCAACAGTAACGTAGTCAACCACGTCACCAAAGCGCGCTTGGGTGACAACAACAATGGCTGCCGCTGGAGAGTTGAGGTGAGTCGATTCTGCTATTAGGTCTGTTCTAGAAGATATCGACAGCAAATTAATTTTAAAAGAGGAACAGAGAAAAGCGATCAAGGCTCATCTTCTTATTCTAGGCGTCCAACTGCACGCTTTGATTTTTGTTGACAACAACTATGCGTGGCTTAACATGCATCACGCACTCCGTTGCTCTTATTGGTTGTAGGTCTATCCAATTGGTTGTAGAGGCATTTTTTCTCCTGGTTCGTTCGAAACACGCCCCATAATCACAGCTCTATGGAGCAGCATCAGACTCATATTCTGACTAGAATTGAGTAGGACTATGTCAGGCTAATCTTTTTCTGTGCAGGTGAGCCAAATTGCCAATATTCTTTTAGAAAGTGTGTTTTTTTTTGAGAGTGGCAAACTGAAATTTTTAAACAGAGCGTGCGCGAGGAGAAATGGGCTTGTGCATGCCCTCGCAGGCATTTAATAGACGTTCCCTCTCAGGAGTGGGTACGGGGCTGTGCACATGAATTTTCCTTTTTTAACGTGCAAAGGGCGGGTCTTTACAAAATTTTGCAAAAATCCTCCACCGTACCTTTTAATAATAGAGACTTGGTGATTGGTGCCAAATATCCAATCTGCCTTTCTTCTGGGGGAGAAAGTTGTGGATATCAGTGTTGCCAACTCAGCGACATTGTAGCTATAATTAGCGACTTTTCAGAACCCTCCAGTGACTCTTTTAAAAAAAAGCAACTAGAGACAAATCTGGCGACTTTTCTGGTGTCTGCCGTGGGGCGCCTCCCCCTTCCAAACCCCGTTCCCCCACTTCCACAGGAGTCCCTCTCAGCGCTGGATTCAGTAGCCTGACGTAGTCCTACTCAATTCTAGTCAGAATATGAGTCTGATGCTGCTCCATGGAGCTGTGATTATGGGGCGTGTTTCGAACGAACCAGGAAAAAAAATGCCTCTGCACTCAATTGGATAGACCTACAACCAATAAGAGCAATGGAGTGCGTGACATATGTTAAGCCAGGCACACTTGTTGTCAACAAAAATCAAAGCGTGCAGTTGCACGCCTAGAATAAGACGATGAGCCTTGATCGGGTTTCTCTGTTCCTCTTTTAAAATAAATTTTGTGTCTATATCTTCTAGAACAGACCTAATAGCAGAATCTACACACCGCAGCTCTGCAGCGGCAGCCATTGTTGTTGTCATCCATGCGCGCTTTGGTGACGTGGTTGATTACGTTACTGTTGATCATCTGTCCATCATCGTATAAAGCCCGCCCTGACAATTTGATTGGCCCGCCAGATATTGTGCTAGCATACTCGCGCTAACAACACCTGTCCCATCAACTAAGTTCGGAATGGCACCCAGGCTATGGATTCAGAGCCACAGCATGTTTTCCCTCAGCTTCCTGACTGCAAATGAACCACGCGTATGCGCCGGGTTGACAGTGCAGGTTGATCACGCTTGAGTCAGCTCCCTCAGTTGCTGAACCTGCCATATACACTATATTGCCAAAAGTATTTGCTCACCCATCCAAATTATTGGAATCAGGTGTTCCAATCACTTCCATGGCCACAGGTGTATAAATTCAAGCACCTAGGCATGCAGACTGTTTTTACAAACATTTGTGAAAGAATGGGTCGCTCTCAGGAGCTCAGTGAATTCCAGCGTGGAACTGTGATAGGATGCCACCTGTGCAACAAATCCAGTCGTGA